CTCTAAACCCTTCCTGTTCATATACCCATCCAGATGCCTTTTAAATGGTGTAATTGTACCAGCCCTCACCATATCCTCTGGCAGCTCATTCCGTACACAAACCACCCTCTGTGTGAAAATGTTGCCCCTTAAATCCCTTTTAAATCTTTCCACTCTCACCTAGTATCACCTATCCATGTCTAACATTGCTGAGGCAACCACAGTAATTACTGGCGCATAAGTGAACACATCCAAGTGGCATGGGGAAAGGAGTGGCAGAAAGTGGGAACACAGTTTTCACTGAGGAAAGTTGTACAGGGAATGGCAGGATATGTTGGGGAGAATTAGCCTTTGGCAAATAAACTGGTGAGTCAACCATAAAGATCAAAATGGCACATTCCCAATATTTACTATACCTGTATGAGAACGTCTGTGTAATTCTAGATTACTCGGGTGCTTAAAGGTTTTCCCACATAGTTCACAACAATATTGCTTCTGTGACTGACAAAACTGGGACTGAACGTTTGAGTTACTTAAAGACTGGTCAAGAACTTCCTCGGAATCTCCAGTAGCTCCATGGTTAACTGGTACTAGATCACTGCCTCTCAAAGGTGAGTCAGTCAGTTTCACTTGTTCCTGATCTTTCTCCCCGGCACAACCGCCTTGTCCCAAATTCTCTTTGGGGAGCTCCCTTGAGCTGTGTCCATTTACTTTCTCAGCTTCGGATATTTCATTCACTTTAGGGAGCACAGAAGGTGACTCGAGCAGTTTCTTGGGCCACAAATAATCATACTTCTTCAGAGGGACTTTCTTTTTCACATGAGGCAATTGTCTAATTGGTTGAGGTTCCATGGTCCCCATACTCTGACTAAAGGACCATCTTTCTTCTGTGTGCATCGTCATGCCTGATGAGGATGGTTCCTGAGCAGCACTGTTGCATTCAGTAGGTTCAAGGGAAGATACATCCTTTGTGGTTACTGCTGTGCTTATACCATCATCGAGATCCACTCTTCTTTGCTCCCCTTGATTACTATTGAAGAAAGGTGACAGATTTTGTTTGAACATTTCTTTTCCATAACAGTTGTACAACTTAGAAGGCTGTTGAGCATTTTGCCTCATTGGATAATCTGAAGTAGTCCTGTCTGGGAGTCCAGGAGTTTGGTTCTGCAAAGTCGCTGATATTTCAGCTTGAGAAATATCTGGCAGTGGTCTAAATAAAAGCCCCAGCTCTTGAGGTTTATGGATATGACTCTGTATCCCAAAAGAGCAGTCATGGTTTATCTCAGTGCCATCTGTATTCTCTAGCATATCCTCTGTGTCGGTTGACAGGGCCCCATGCAGCGAAATAGTGCTAGCAGCTGCCAAGTTGCTGCTATCACCTATGACATTTGCTGAAGCCTTTAGGAAAGTATAGCACAGACTGAGCACATTCGGTACTTGCAAACACTGAGCAATGTCCAACACAGCCTGGACGTTTTCATGGCTAAGGTCAAGGTGCGAAGTATACATAAAATCCAGAATCTGGCCAATGCCACCAATATTTTTAATATCCAAATGGAAGACATCACGACTCTGGCCTGAAGAATTTTGAAATAAGGTCCTGAAAGGTTTGGGACAAAACAGAAAATTACTTTAAGTAAAAAGACAAACTCAAAACTCGTTACTACTCAAATGCTTTTACTAAAAATGAGCCAATGAATTCAACTCTAAACATCCACAGCATTTTCTGTGATAGTGAAAAAGTGAAATTTGATGCTTTTACTTTACTCTATAAATGTAATTATGGTAAAGCAATTTAAGAATACACTAAAGGCATTCAAGGCAGTTCTCAGCAAGAATTATTTTTGTCAACTAATAATTACAATTGGATGATAAAACTCTACTCCCCAGATGTGTTTGGAGATGATTTACTGCCAGTGTTAGCTAATTTCTTGGCTGGGGAAACAGTTACAGTTTGACACTGAGATTAATAATCAATTCAATGGCTTCATCTGATAACTGTGACTGGTTGTGATGTCACCAGGAATGGATTTCTCAGGGCAGAAGTGTATGACAGCGATGGACTGACTGAAGGGTAATTAACATTGAAGGTCCATAATTTATTTTGAATTTAAAGCACTTGAAAAGGCACTCACAAAATATAAATAACAATTTACAGATTGCTTAAACTACGATAACCTGCCCAAGAGCTTCCAGATGGAAATTGTAGGGTGTGCTAAATATAATTTGGAAGTAAAATGCAAAGAAATAGACTTCGAATGTCTGAAGTAATTACAAATAGCTGAGGGTGCAAGCAATGTTAGGTGGGTTCTGGTATAATGTAATGTGAATTATAGTGAAAACAAAGTTAAATAAGAAAACTTTGAAAAATGTCAGGCACAAGTTTTTTTTCAACAATCTAATCAAAGCTCATGGTCAGCTGGAACAGTGCGAATGGGGGTTGTGAGGTGGGGAATATTTCATAAAGGGTAACCATGGCACTTAGAGTAAGTCATTGCTATATGGATGTGACCATTAGCAAAGGCTGGTTGAGATTTTAAAAAAAATGACTTTCAGACCAAGTCTAATTCCAGTACACAATTTGAATTTATATGTTACAGATAGTTCATACCTACCTAAAGTACTGGCTGAATGCAGCCAGCACATTTTTATGAGCCTTAAAGCAGACACCCTTCACCACCAGCATGCAGTCACACAGGAAACCTTGGATACGCTGCTCATGAAGCTGCTGTAGTAGATGGCAGCTGTGGTTTCCTAGTGCTTCGGCTGCCATCCTTTAGCTGACCTAGTATGGGAAAGAAACTCTGACATAACATGAGATTTATTAAAATGGTACAGAATCAATCAGTTGGAGGGTATGTGGTTTTATTCATACAGCAGGATGGCTCAAACGCAGTTGAGACAAAGTCACTCGTCACAGCTTACAATTCACACAAGAGATTTTGTAAATTCCTTCACAAATTTAAAGCAAAATGACCAGTGGATATTGTTTTGTTTTAGTTAAAACGTGATTCTGTGCGCAGGGTTCAAAGAAAAACTTTTGATACGTGCTTTTAGCAGAGATAGTAGGAACTGACGATGCTGGAGAATCTGAGATAACAAGGTGTAGAGTTGGATGAACACAGCAGGCCAAGCAGCATCAGAGGAGCAGGAAAGCTGACGTTTTGGGTCAAGACCCTTCTTCAGAAAATGCTTTTAGCAGTTTGTTTATGCTATGTTTTGATCTGAACGCTGGGGTAGGAATCACTGGTCAGAACATTATGTTGCATCAAATGGACTATAAAAATGCAAGTTGTTGGAGTAAAAGATAAAATTCAAAGATATTTTTTCCTCCCTGGTTATGCAATGGTTTTGTCTTAAAAAGGGTAATTGAGATTGTCATCCAGCACTATTTCTAAAACTGGATGAAGAAGATGAAAAGGGGTAGGGGTTGGGTGAACATGAAGATGACCCAATATTTCTATAAGAAATTCCAGCTCAGAATATCCCAATACGTGATCAATTATTTTTGTAACCAACTGATTATGTTTTACTGCAGTGAAACTTCATGGCTCTTGAGCTTTAATTTGACTACTTTAATTTAGAATAATAAATGGCACCTTACCTTCATTTTGGGTAAAAACTCAACTAACCACAGACGGAGACAGAAATCATATTTAATTCAAATATTCATTACCCGTTGATTTAAAGACATTTGTTCCAACATTCAACATCATTTCAAACAAATGTCTCTTTGCCAGAAATTCACCTTATCTAATATATTTTTAACTAATGTAAAAAGTCATCCATAATTTTATCTTTTTACAAAATTCGTTTCAGAACTATAACATAACATCACGGGCATGAAGCTATATCTGTTCCCTTTGCTGCAGAGTATCCTTCATGTTTCTAGAATAAAAAATAATGTGCGATTCAAGGATTACCACCTTGCAAGTATTTTTGACCTTCCCAAGTTTAGTGGGGTGGGGAGCAGGGAGTGAGTCAAGGTTTCGTATAATTGCAGCATAACTTCTGCATTCTTGTACTTCAGTCAAGATACGGGACAGCATTCCATTAGCTTTCTTGTGGTATAAAAGCAAGAAACAAAAGACAATACAAGTCAATGCTTGAGGTAAATGTGGAAAGAAATATCACAATAAAGAGTGAAATAGTAGTGAGCAGAGTTTTTAAAAGAGTTCACAGCAGTGAAATAAGCTGTGCTGAGGTCATAGGGATTTGAAAATACAACAAATTAAGGGAAGCTGTAAATGTGAGACTGATTGGGAGTACACTTGACTTGATATTGTAAAAGAATGACAGTGAATAGCAAACTATTTTACATCAGTCATAATTTTTATGCCCATTTCTTTTCAATAAAAGAGGGGAAATAAATGTCAGGAGGGATATAAAACAACAGCAAGATTCACTTTCATACAAGAAATTTCCTCCCTAAGGGCATTATGAGTCTACCTACAGCACATGGACTGCAGCGTTTCAAGAAGGCAACTCACTACCACCTTCTCAAGTGCGACTAGGGATGGGCAATAAATGCTATCCAGCTAGCGACGCCCATGTCCCACAAGTCAATTAAAAATAAAAGTTGCTCAAGTACAAGACCATCGAGCAGTTTCAAATAGTTAAGAAAGGAAAATTCAACTTATACTGTCATTTCCCAGTTTGAACTCCTGAATTACGATTTTGTTCATCTTAACTTTCCAAATGATCGATTCCCAATCTTTATCGTTCATTTACATTCTTGTGATATTGCTGATAAAAACAGAGGCTCATGGTCAGTCAACAGGGGAGCAGACAGCAGACATCAAGTACAGTGGCACTTGGAATACGAAAGATGCTTATGGTTTTTGGTCTCTCAGGGAATCAAGGCAATTGGGGAAGTGGGAGAAAGGAATTCATGTCAAAGATGAGCCATGATCATACTGAATGTCAGAACAGGCTCAAGAAGTCATATGGTTTACTCCTTATCCTTATGTTTTTAGATTGAAGTCTGCAACTGGTCCCCACATAATGTGGAAAAGTTGAGATTAACAACCCTGCAAATTGTTCTTTTGTTTCTTCTTCAGGCTGCCGTCTAATTTTATTGGAAATTAAACAACTAAAACAATATTCCCCATTTTAAGAGTTTTCACTGAAAATAGCAAACATTTGGCGAGCTCTTCCTGGAGTTTTGGAGGGGAACTAAACTCTTAGATCTCACCTGTCTGAAAAAGAAAATGATTTAAGTGTGATATCTCTGGGAGGGAGAAGCGCAGAATGCAGCACCAAAAGATTTTACATCGGATAGGATGAGGAGGGTGTTCCAGTTTCAAGAATAATGGAAGATGCTGGTTTTAAAGTGACTTCAAAAAGTATGAAGAAATGTCACAAAGCAGGTCGCTTTAGGAAAAGCAAGTTCCAGTGTAACTGGGGTATCTTAAGTGCCTATCATCAATAAAAGAACAGGAGAATGAAATGCACAGCAGACCCGAGTTGGAATAACAGAAGGAATGAAGATTTTATAGACAAGGATTTTGAAGTTAATGTTTCAGGGCAATAGGGAGGTGATAAAGATTGACAAGGACTGGGGTAGTAGATGTATGGGACTTTAAGCAGAATGGTGAGCATGCTATAATTTTAAGGATGCGTTGAAATTTATGGTGGAGTTTAGGAAGCCAATGAACAAAGTATTGAAAAAGTAAAGATGTGAATGATGTCAATTGCAGTGAATAAAAAATAGGGATGACAAGTGATATTTGAGGGTAAGGTTAGTGGTCATGCAGCTGCTTTGGACATGAGGTTTTGTGTCTCAGCTCTGGAAAAAATAGAACATTGAGACTCCCAGGATAATTGGGGCAAGCAAGGAAAATGCATTCAGAACTTGCTTATACACTGCTTAATATCTGTTGAGGATCAGTAATGTCAAACTTTAACAATGATTTACATGATTTTATACTCCTCATTACTAAGAAAGTACCCTCCAAGTTATTCATAATTTAGATAGAATGCTAGTTGTTTATTAACACTGGTTAAATGTAATACTTAATTGGAAAATATTTAGAAGTGAATTATTTGTGATATATTATAAGACATTACTGAAATTAAATTAAATGCAATTGTATTAGCTTTTTTTTCTCATTTGTAGCAGATAGCCCACATATCTCGAATTGCTTAATTGCCAGAGGAATAGCAGCAATGCCGTTGACTGACTACATTAATGGGAAGAATGCCACATTCCTAAAGATACTGGAATTAAAAATTACAACAAAAAATTCACAGATTATTTTCAAAATATTAAGCATGTAGAGATCAGATCTTGAAATCCATCACAGATAGATGTGGTTAAAACTTTCTGTCAAGGTGCTAAGTAAATGAATTGTACAATTTTCCCACAGAGTTTACAAGGAAAACGGGTATGGCAAATGTAAATATCACCCAAAAGCAGGTTGTCTCTGGAGGTAAAACCTCTGGCCACCTGCCTCTATTCCACAGTTTTGCCCAGACTGTGGCTCAGAAGAAGTAACATGCAGTGTCTCCCAGATATTTTGAAGCCTTTCACACCCTGTAAGAGGTTTGTCATTTAAATGCCCTCTTAACATCTTTTGTTTCTTCACTTGATCAATGAACACTCCCTTCAGCCTTGCGACCCTTCTGATACTTTCCATCCAACACAGACCCTGCCCTTCTGTTCTTTAACACATCCTTTCACTTAATAAAAACCTTAAACATCTTTAAATTTTGCGAATTCTAATGAATGGTCATCGACCTGAAGCGTTAACTCTGCTGCTCTCTCCGTATAGATACTTGCTCATCTGTCCAGTAATTTCCAGCGTTTTCTGCTTTAAAACACTCCGTGCCATGAAGAATAACAGGAAAAATCTGGTGGATTAAAATGTTGTTTAACATTTAATGTTAAATTTAATAATGTAAACAACATTAAATGTTGTTAATGTAGAGACAGATGGACTAGATCTAGGTTTGTTAGTGAGAAATGACGTGAAGTTACTCGGTAGAAAGACTGCTGTGAATAATGCTGCAGTTATCTTGTCTGTACAGACAGCTTCCCTAACATATTGCATTCCTCACCAAAGATAAATCCTTTAAGTCATAATAACCTTATTCACGGCCAGTAGAAAAATCAACAAAAATCTGATAGATTACGTGAAACACTTCAAAATTAGAATAAAATCCACAAAGTGATTGGAGATAAATACATTTAACCAGTCATCATTAATCATCATTGTACCTTCCAAATTAAAATTAAAAACTAAGGGTTTTCCATTTTCCATTCCACTTTCCTTCTGAATAGATTTTCATTCTGCAATAGATTTTGATCCTCAATCATAGTCCATCCTTTCTCCCTGTAATCACTGCCAAGCCCGGGGAGAGGTTTTCCGATTCGGTTTCCAGGACAACAATTAGTAAAAGGGACTCGGGGCCTAGATGCACTAGCACGGGAAAGGCACAAAGCAAGTGGATGGCGGAACATACAAACTGCAGGAAGACGGGAGGCTGGTGGAGGACAACAGCCGAACCAACTGATGCTGTTGCGTCTCGGAACGCTTTTCCTGGTCGCTTAGGTCAGAGTAAAAGGAGCCATCTCCTCGCCTGACTAGGACTGGGCAATAACCATTTACAACAAATTGCAACAAACAATTGGAACCATGTCCGGATCGGGCCTCATTCCATTCCCGGGCAAGGTTCTTTACCTAATTGTTTACAGACTCCGCGCTCTCTTCTTGCCCGTCCTGCCCTGGCCCCCACTCTCTGGCATCTCTATTCCCTTCTCCCTTTTACGGTGAGCTGCACAGGAACGCGGCGCCCGGAACCTCAGTATTGGGGCGGAGGACACAGGGGAAGAGACGGAGCGTTGCACCTCGTTTTTCCGGTACCACACACGTGTGTGTTCGGGTTGGTTGGGGCTGCCTGAGGAGGGTGAGGAGCAGCGGGTCTGTCTGAGGAACCCGCCGTGAATGTTGTAAGCGCCGCAGCGAGTGGGGCTGAAGGGTAACTCGTAACTCATTCCGTTTCAGATTGTTCCTGTTTTTGTTATGTCGATTCTAGAAGTTGTCTAGCTTTTTGCTGTAAGTTAAGCAAGATGTTTAAGTCATTTATAAATCATTTACTTAACCCGAAGGCCCTGTTTCGAATGAAAAATGTACACCTCCAACAGTGCTGCACTCCTTCTTCAGTAAAGACCCACTGAAGAGTCAGCTTCATTGCTCCCCCGCTCCTACTCTAGTTAACTTTTATTCTTTGCATTTCACTCCACCCCAAGTGCTTGGCATATGTATAAATGTACCTAAAGATGACTTGATAATTTCAGTCTCTGTAATTTAATAATTTTATTTAATTGTAATTCTTTTAAAAAAAAAGGTTTCCAATGTTATAGCATCTTTCACAACCTTAAGTCAATCCAAAGTACTTTAGAGTCAATGAAATCTTTTTGAACTATAGTCAGTGTCACAATGTAGGAGTCAATAAATTCAGAGCATGATATGTATTAACTGGGTGATAACTTACCCCTTCAGAGTAGGGCCTTGTGATATTTTACATTCTCATGAAAACAGATGCAACTTTAGTTCAATGTTTCAATTCAAAAATGGCACTACCAACAGTTTTGGAGAAACCACTAAATTATGTCTGTTCAAGTCTCCAAATTGGGACTTGAGCCCACAATCTCAACCTGAGACAGCAGTATTTTTAATGTTGATTTTAGGCTATCAGTGTCATGATGGGAAATTGGATTTCATACTCCTCAATTTGATGCAACTTCGTATTGTGGTGAACATCACTCAGTCTCTCTTCAAGTCAGCTTGAAGCAGTTCTACTCTCATCTGCACATCAATGTAAACCCTTAGCTTCATTATGAGGGACGTTTTAATTTTCACACTTGTCAACTATCAACTGCCTAATGCTATTGACTGTCAAGTACTTAACAATTGAATATTGGGAAGAACAGAGCTGTCATCTTTGGTTCTTGTCACAGACTCCATCCCTCACTCTGACCTCACCGTCTGAAAGTGAACTCTTGATGTAACCTTGGCATCTTTTTTGACCATTAGCTGAATTTCTTTTATTTGTTCATGGGAACTGGGCATCACTGGCTGTGCCTGCTTTTGTTGCCCGTCTTTAGTTATAGAGTCATACAGCACAGAAATAGACCCTTCCGTCCAACCTGTCCATGCCAAGCATAATCCCTAACTAAACTAGTCCCTGCTCCTGGTCCATATCTCTTCAAACGTTTCGTATTCATGTACTTATGTATATATCTTTTAAGCATTGTAATTGTACCCACATCCACCACTTCCTCAGTAAGTTCGTTCCACACGTGAACCATCCTCTATGTAAAAAAAATTTGCGTCATATCTTTTTTAAATCTCTCTCATCTCACCAGAAAAATGTGCCCCCTAGTGTTCAAATTGCCCATCCTTGGGAAAAGACAACTACCATTATTAACTCTATCTATACTGCTCTTTATTTTATAAATTTCTGTAAGGTCTTCTTGTTGCACTAGAGAAGGTGGTGGTGAGTAGGATTCTTTAACCGCTGTGATCCTTGGAATATAGGAGCATCCATAGAGCTAATAGGGAGGGAGTCCCAGGATTTTAACCAAGCAACAGTGAAGATACAGTATTTCTATTCCTAAATTGGTGGTGTGAGATTTGGAGAGGAACATGCAATTGGTGGTGTTCTGATGTATCTGATGTCCTTGTTCTTTGAGATGATAGAGCTTGTGGGTGTGGAAGGTGCTGTTAGAGGAGCATTGGTGAGTTACTGCAGTGCATTTTGTAAGTAGCACCGAATACTGCTACTGTATGTTGGTGAAAGGAGTGAACGTTAAAAGTGTTGGATGTGGTACCAATCAAGCATTCTGCTTTGTGCTGGATAAGGTCAAACTTCTTGAGTTCTGCTGGAGCTGCACTCATCCAGGCAAGTGTAAAATATTCCATCACACTCCTAACTTGTACCTGGTGAACAGGCATTTGGGAGCCCAGAATTAAGTTATTCTTTGCAGAATGTACTGCTCTTGTTGTTTCAGTGTATTTATGGCTGATTCAGTCAGTTTCTGGTCAGTGGTAACCCCCATCAGCATGTTGACAGTGGGGGTTTCGGCATCCATTAATCTCAAAAGGTGATGGTTAGATTCTGTCTTGTTGGAGGTGGTTGTTGTATGGCACGAATGTTATTCGACAGTCGTTAACCCAGATCAGGATGTTGTCCAGGCCTTGCTGCATAAGGGCAAGGACTACTTCGGTATTTGAGTTGATATAGATTTTACTGCACCTTGTGCAATTGTCAGTAAGCATCCCCCACCTCGATCTTATGATCAGATGAAGGTCATTGTTAAATCAGCTGAAGATGGTTGGGCCTTCTGCTGAGATGAATGACCTTCGACAACAGCCATTTTCCTCTGTGCCAGGTATGACTCCAACCAGTGAAGCATCCATGCCTGTTTTTCCCTCTCCCTCTCCCTCTCCCTTACCCCACTACCCCCATTTCCAGTGTTTCCTGCGGTCCTTGCTGCTATTCTTGGTCAAATGCTGTCCTGGGGTCAAGGCCAGTTACACTCATCTCATCTCATGAAATCTGCTCTTAATTATGTGTCGGGTAGCCTTGGCAGACCCAAACTGAGCATCAGCAAGCAGATTATTGCTAAGATGATCATGACTAGAATAATAGGGCAATAACTGTCTGGGCTGGATTTGTCCTGCTTTTTGTATACAGGACTTCCCTGGGCAATTTCCCACGTTATTGGCTGGATGCCAGTCTTGTACACCAGTACTGGAACAGTTTGGCTAGTTCCGGAGCACAAGTCTGACAGAAATATTGTCAGTGCTCAAAACCCTTGCAGCACCCAGTGACACCAGCAACTTCTTGATATCACATGGAGTGAATTGAATTGGCTGAAAATGGACTCTCATGATGCTGGGCACCTCTGAAGTAGGCTGAGATGGATTATCCCCTCAGCACTTCCTGCTTGAAATGGATGCAATTCTTCAGCTTGCCTTTAGGAAAGATGTGATGGGATTCCTCATTGTGGAGGATGAGGCTGTTTGTGGAGCCTCCACCTCCTGTTTGTTTAATTATCACCACTATTTGTGTCGCAGCACTAAGAAGCTTAAATCTGATCCTTTGGTTGCTTTATTGCTTAGCCCTGTTTATTTCATGCCACTTCTGCTGCGTAGCATGCAATTAGTATTGTGTTGTAGCTTCACTAGTTGGCACCTCATTTTTGGTATGCTTCTCTTGACATAACCTTCTGCATTTTTCATTGAGCCAGGATTGATCCCCTGGCTTCGTGATAGCGGTAGAGTGGGGGATATGCTGGGTTATGAGGTTACAGAATGTGGTTGAATATAAGTCTGCTGCTGCTGCTGCTGCTGATGGGCTACAATGCCTCATGAAGTCTATACGACAGCATGGATGTAGTGCTTTGGATGAGGGGGGAGGGTGAGCAGGGGCAGAGAGATAGATGCTAATCAGCAGCGTGTCTCTTTACCTATGTTTGACTTGATGCCTACGAAAATTTAATAGAATCTGGAGTCAATGCCAAGAACTCCCTTGACAATTCCCTACTGACTGTTGCCACCTCTTCTGGCTGTGTCCTACTGGTGGGACAGGGCATACTGAGGAATGATGATGGTGGTATGTGGGATATCATCTGTAAGGTATGATTCTGTAGTATGACTGTGGTTGACCAATCCATGGGACACGTGTCTCAATTTTTGGGGCAAGCTCCAGATGCAATTCAGGACGACTTTGCAGGGTTGACAGGCCTGTGTTTTCTGTTGAAATTTCTAGATTAATCTCAGTGGTCTGTCTTGTTTAATTTTGTTCCTTTAAACTTTGCAGTGGTTTGGTACAACTGAATGATTTATTAGGCCATTTCGGAGGGCATTTAGTCTACCACATTGTTGTGGTTTGGGAGACAAGATAGGGCAGTCAGGTAAGAATGATGCAGAAACAGATCTAAAGAAGGATCGTGACTAAAGGCTAACTCTGCTTTCTCTCCACAGATATTGCCAGATGTGCTGAGTTTTTCCAGTAATTTCTATTTTTATTTCAGATTTCCAGCATCTGCAATTCTTTGGTTTATTTCAGGTAAGAATGGCAGAGTTCCTTCCCTAAGTAAAGCAGTTTTTTTTAAATGATAATCAGTAATGCTTCCATGGTTGTTATTAGGCCAGCTTTTTATTCTATATTTTATCGAATTCTGCCATAACATAACATTAGCCTGGGGTCTAGATAACTAGTCCAGTGACATTATCACAATGTCATTGCCCCCCACAGTTTCAGACCTCTCCTTTTCCATCACTGACAGCACTTTCTTTCATCTGTGTAACATCAAGTGTATCTGCCAAGAGCAGATATAAATACTTCTGAAATCCTAATCCATCCCTATACCTATCTATTTCATTGCACTTCGGAGTGGCCATCCAACTTCTACTCTGTCTATAAAGTTGAACGTACCCATAACTCAGCTACCTAGATCCTAACTGGCCTGTTCACCCATCATTCCTGTCCTGTGACATACATTGCGTCCTGGCCTAACAAGGCCTTGATTTTTGAAATTTCTAAGTAACGTTACCTCTTCCTGTTTCTCTTCCCTGATTCAGCCATGCAGCCCTTCTGTGCTTGACCAGTTCTAGCCTTTTCTGTATCCCAGATTTTCTTCATCTCTCTGGCACTCCAACCTTACTGCCTCGGACCTAAACACTGAAATTCCCTCTTTACCTGCTTAAGAACATTTTTGCTATCTGTTGAAAGTAAGCTTTAATATTGTGCTTAACATCTTCTGCTTCTTTCTCATGGTTTGCTAACTCTTCTCAGTGACTCTTATAATAGATCCACTTTTCTATCAATCGGTAAAGCAAAATACTGCAGATACTGGAAATCTGAAGCAAAACAGAAAATGCCAAAAATACTCAGGTCAGGCAGCGTCAATGGAGAGAGTAAAACGGCATTAACGTTTCAGGTCAACGACTTTCATCAGGACTGACTTGGGCGAAATCTGGACAAAAGTGTGAATGACAGAATTCATCCATTATTGTAAAGCCAACTGTAAAAATAAGATAAAATCAGCATAAGTAAAGCCTACATTGGAACTGATTATTCCTCTGTTTGACAGGTATATTTATTGATATTACAGGTATTGCTTTGTGGTGTGTAAGGAGAAGGGACCTAGAATAAAACAAAATGGTGGTCTTCATCTGTAATGGATGTGGAGCATCTGTCAAGAAAGCTCAAGTGGAAAAGCATTTTAATAGTTGTCGGAATTGCCCGTGCTTGTCATGTATTGACTGTGGCAAGGACTTTTGGTAAGTATTTGTCATAGTTACGTAAGAAGCTTTGGCTTGTACACGTGTATTGTGTTCTATCTAAATTTTAACAGTTTTAGTAAGTGTTTCTGTTTTGTTTACTTTGATCTTCATCATCTGAGATCACCTATTGGCAGTCCCATTATTTCTAAGACTCCGCTTTAATTGGTTACTTCTGCTGCTTATGTACAGCTTGTACATTGTGCCAGCTCCTCCAGTGCTACTGCTACTAATATCTAATGATAGTTGCAAAATGATTGAATTGATAGCACTGCATACAGTTCAATATTCTGTTGGAATTTGTGGAGCTAAACTATTCAATCTTTGCAGCTACAGTTTTGAAGAATGCTCTTTAGATTTATGCTGTACGTTTTTAGCTCCACTCAATGAAATTACAAAATAAAAGCTCACTCCTACATAATTGAGATAAAATATTAGTTGACATTCCTCCTAAAAGAAGTTTTTAACTGTTTATAGGGGAGAGGATTACAAATCACATATTAAATGCATTAGTGAAGATGAAAAGTATGGTGGTAAAGGATTTGAAGCCAAGGCCAAAAAAGGAGATGTGAAACAACAACAATGGATAGAGGTAAATAAATCTTTCTTTGCGTCTTATTCCTAGTATGCTTCTAGGAACTCAAAACTTTGCAGTAGTCCATACATGTTTAAAAAATTTATCAGTTGTAGTGGGCTGTTTAACTCTAAACAGAACTTGTTCATCTTTTATGTTGTTAATGGTAGTCATGTGAAGTTTCTACATAATATTGTTGAATACATTTTTATTACATCAAGTAAGACCATGTATGACCAAAAGGCCCTGCGTGAGTTTTTTTTGGGGATTTAATAGAAGCAATAAGTCTGTATTCAAGAATTTCTTATGCACCATTCTGATCAATTGACTTCAGAATGCCACGTTCAGAAAGCTATGTGCACTTGCCCACAGTTTCAGCTGTCATTTCACAAATCAAAACAGAAGATTTTGGGAAGCACAGTAAATTAGTTAACAAAGTGTGGAGCTGGAGTAACACAGCAGGCCAGGCAGCATCAGAGGAGCAGGAAAGCTGA